GGCCCTCAATTTTTTTCGGTTGAATTACATATTTTCAACCCACCCTTTTGATGTACTTTGTTTGTCCATAATCTTTTTTCGACAAATAGGCAAAAAGCTTCTCTCAGGTCTCCCAACTGCTTTTTTGGAATTCGCCATAAGGTTAGTTTGTACCATATGGTGGCCAGGATGATATTATTTATTGTAAGGGGCCCTAGTTGAGGCGTAGAGCTCATTCTATTTAGCTATTCTTTTGAGAGTCATTTCTTTAAGCACATATCCGTGATCTTTTTGTGACAATAGCAATGTAAGCCCAACTCTCAAAGTCTGGATCGTGTCCTCTTTCGACTTCCATTTAATGGAGAATACTTCAGGGTTTTTAAGCCCCATTAGACCCAACCACCACCCCGTCGTTTGTGTTCCCTAGATGACCTTCATATCCGCTGCACCTGCAAAGGTTTGGATAGTATCTAATGGCACCCACAAGCTGGTTGGGGTGACTTTGATCTGGACCGTGAAGTCATCAACAAAGTGATGTAACCGCGATTAGGTGTGGTGCGAGCTTCGGGTTTGCGGTAATCATTGCAGCTAATGCCTTAAATACTATCCCAAAGAGCAATGGTGAAATGGGGTTGTTGTGTGATCGACCTCTATAATATGAATGGCGGGGACAAATGGTCATTCACCATGATGTTGGTGCAGACCAATCCATTATGGAGACCCATGCTCTCAATGCACCCCTAAAGTTCAATATCTGGTGGCAACAATCCACGAAGTCCCAATCTACATGATCGTAAATTTTCTCAAAGTTTGTGAATATGATTACTTCCTCTCTCTCCTCTGCCACGTATATTTGATTCTTTCGTTTAAGAGAAACACATTATCTTGAATGTTTCTTTGAGATATGGAAGTTGTCTAATCCTATTATATGAGATGGTACACACACAAAAGCAACATGTTGGGCATTGCTTTGGAAACAAACTTGTATGGAAGAGGACACAACGTTACTGATTTGTACTTATGGTTATCGAACTTGTTGCCTTTTTGTACAAGAGAGTTGTTAGCCCCTAACTCATCAATCCCCCAAAGGTCCCCTCCTATCAAAGTGCTTGGACGTATGCAGATAGACTCTTCTAAAAAAAAATTCACTGTTGGAGGCTTGAAACCAAAATTCTTCACGATTTTTTTCTTTTTTAATAATCGGGGTTTGTTTCGTCCTTGATTCCTTGCAGTGCACCCAACCACTCGTTTGAAGCTATGGGTATCTCAAACTTTTGTTTCGGAAAGCAAGGTCGAAATATTCATTAACATACCCTGCACTCTAACTAAGTACAAGGCATACAACAAAAAAATTACCAACAAGAAATAAGATAAACCACACAATATGGAAATGCAAGGAAAACCCTCACAACACATATAGTAGGTATAATAGAAATAGTTATAGATTAATAGTGAAAGAAGATAAGGAAGATAAGGAAGCTAATTGATAAGCGGTTAACAAGTACCCCCACTTTTCAGCCCCAAGTTAACCCCTTCAATCTTGAAAAGTGCATTGGAGATCATTTTTTTAGTTTTTTTAGTTTGTTTTTTTTTTGCCCTGTTATATTTTTTGTCAAGGTCTGTGTGTGCCAAGTTTGGTGTTTGCTGGGATTTTGGAGTTTACTGTTTTGGCTAGCCCTAAAAAATCCTGAAAATCTTAAAAATTGAAAAGAGTAAATTTTGCGTGGAAACACACTTTTGCCGTGGGGTTTAAAGCCCCTTTGATTATCTTTTTTACTTTTTTTTGTATTATTGGTGTATATGGTGTCGTTTGTTATAATGACCTTGAAAAAATCCTGAAATTTTAGGGTTCTGTTAACCGCTTCTCATTGAGGATTAAACAAGGAAGAAAATAAAGATGAAGAAGGAAAAAGAGGAGTACACAAGGCTATCGATAGAATCTCATGAACCAGTTTGAGGTGTTTAGGTCCTACAAGATATTGTATGTCCCAAAGGAGGTAACTATGTATATATATATATATATATATTATATATATATAATATACTTTAAAATAGAGGTATGTTTTTCTCTCATTGCTTCTCCTTAACCTATACAAGGGACCCTTGCAAGCATATCTACCTCTCACAACCAAGAAGACTCATTCACTTTGAGGTTCAAACTTGTAAGACGCAAATAGATGAGCCAAGTTTTATACTGCGTGGTTTCATGTACCCTTCAGATTAAACCTTGAAGCAAGCTTCGAGCACAAACCTTATCGGGTGAAGGGACTACAGGGGGTGGGGTTCAATTTTTTTGAGTGCAATCACATGTTGGCCTCGCGCGGCCGGTTAGCAACCGCGTGGGAAATTTTGAAGAAACAGTTATAATTTCAGTTGTCACTGCACTTTAATTTTCTTGCTAAGCATGCACACACAAAGCTGTTTTTGAATCTTTGCAAGTCGACGTAAGTTAGCTTCCCGCTTCTACACTAGCGCCAACTTCTCTTCTTCCTCATGACCCCATTTGTGTGTTTCTTCACCGTCCTTCCTCCTCTTCTGGCTAAAATGATTGGTTGTCAGTTGAGCTGGTCGGATCAAGCCGTAAGAGCGGCCTTACGTTCATGGTTTACTACAGGGGGCGGTGTTCAATTTTTTTGAGTGCAATCACATGTTGGCCTCGTGCGGCCGGTTAGCAACCGCGTGGGAAATTTTGAAGAAACAATTATAATTTCAGTTGTCACTGCACTTTAATTTTCTTGCTAAGCATGGGTACGCAAAGCTGTTTTTGAATTTTTGCAAGTCTATGTAAGTTAGCTTCCCGCTTCTACACTAGCACCAACTTCTCTTCTTCCTCACTACCCCGTTTGTGTGTTTCTTCACCGTCCTTCCTCCTCTTCTGGCTAAAATGATTGGCGGTCAGTTGAGCTGGTCGGATCAAGCTGTAAGAGCGGCCTTACGTTCATGGTTTAAACGTCTACCTCGATTGTGCAAAATTTTTGATCATCCCGCTTTATCTGCTTCCTCCGTGCTTCTAAAACTTTCTTTTTTCTTCATTGATCCTTTCTTCGTTGCTGCTCATCTACCTCCCTGTACTCCCCCGCACTTCGAGTGGGTGCCTCACCGTCTTCCTCGCTATAAACTCGATCAGTCCCCTCCTTTCCTCTTATTTGATCTTGGTTGCAGTATTCCGCGAGCTATACGCGAAGCTTGCGATGCCGAAAAGGTTCGACTTGCCCAAGGATAGGCAGGGTGATGGTCACAGTGTGGGGTAAGCTTAGCGATAGCTTTGGTAGGTCTTAGTTGGGGAGACTGAGTGGTGGTGGAGACAAGGTTGCGGCCATTGGGAGGGTCTTGTGGCTACACTGACGTACACCTTGAGGTTGGACATGGTGGCCGTGAACACCAGGTGCCGCCACCAACATTGTTTTAAAGAAAAGTTGTGAAGGACTGTTGCTTTTCTCCATCGATGTTTGTAAGAGTGTGCATAAGTTGTGTGCATGACCTTGGCTGTCAGTGTCAAATGGATGCATGTGCGCTTCGTTGTCAGAAAGTCGGTTGATGTTTGGTGTGGATGTTCAATGCAGAATGATGGTTGTTTGACTATTGTCAATCTCGCTACACCCTTCCACTTGCATGTGTTGAGGGGATCGAGTTGATCTCAATTGTTTCCTGTTCCCGTTTTTGCTGGTCCTGGTGGTCCTTGAGTGTCGTATTGCCAGGTTGTCATGTCTCGTTACACACTTCGCTTGCAAGAGGAATGAATGGTGGCTTGGTTGCCTAAGCACTCGATGTATGGATGAAGCAAACGAACTATGCAATCCCTGATCTCACTCTCACAATTTTGGTTCATATTCTGCGCAAAGGACTTAAGATCTGAGCTGGAATTGTATGGAGAGGTTTGCTTGCTTGAGTGTACACACCGGCAACTGCCCGTGTTCGAACCTTACGTTAATTCGCCATAGCAACCTTCCCGATTTCCCAGTCGCAGATGAAGACGCAGTCTACTGCGATGCAGTTGTTAGGAGGTCGTTGTTGCAGACCGACTGGGTTCACTTTGTTAACCCATCAAACGCATGTCACAACAGTGAGGAAGGGTTTGTCCTGATTGATTGTTTTGATGCCCCCTAACTAATCCTTTCCTATACTGATCTCACAGTGCTTCCCTGGTCTGCTATGCACGCCACGTGGAACCCCCAGTTTAACTGCCGCTTGTGCAAAATTTTGGGAACTTGTGCTCGTGGTGACGGTTGGTTCTAGGGTATCAAGGGGCAATTAGGTTCCTGGAACACACCCGCTACGGAGGCTTCCTTCTGGCGAACTTCCGAGTCGAGGTACTCCTGCGCCCTCCAGCGTCCAATAGGAGGAGACTGACAGATTCGAGGACCGAGACTAGCCCTGAGTCCCTGACTGGTTGGAGTCCAGAAATTGAGAAGGGCAAGGGAAAAATTGCAGACGCTATGGACTGAAATCAAAAGTTGCCTTTTTTTACGGGGCAATTCCGCGAAAAGACTTGGACCCACCGAAATGGAAAGCAAACAACCAAAAAGACTCAGCCTATATGGCCATAGTTACTTCTTCTGTAGCAGCCACATGAAACGGCCATAGTTACTTCTTCCGAAGGCAGGGGCATTTCCTCAGCCTTTTTTTTTTTTTTTTTTTTTTCTACCCCTAAAACACAGGGTATAGCGAAGGGCCCCTATGTATTGCATATGCCCCTGTCCAGGCCGTGGGCAACTTTATGATATGGGACTGCAGGGGCCGACGTAGTTTTTCTGCCATCTCCCCTCTACTGGGCAGGCATCTTCTCCGCGCGCCGCACAGCCAACTTCGCGCCCGTCCAATTCGAATTTTGAACGTGTTGTGTTGGAGGGTGTTGACGTGGCTGCAGTGGCGACATTCTTTTTTTTTTTTTTGTAGTAAAAGGCGAAAGAATAGTACGCCCGGCTGTGTTGACGTGGCTGCAGTGGCGACATTCTTTTTTTTAATTTATTTTTAGTAAAAGGCGAAAGAATAGTACCGGGCACGCAGCCGACCAGTGGCGACATTCTGCTTATCGGGCATTGCAATCGCCACCGGCTGTGCTCGTTGTGTGCTGCCGTGGCCATCCATGTAAGATTCTTCCACGCCACGTACCCTCCTCCTCCTACCCATACCTTTCCTCCTCCACTTCCTCCACTTCCTCCTCTTCCTCCTCCTTCTCCCCCTCCCACCTTTCCTCCTCCACCTTCTCCATCTCCATCACCTTCCCCCCTCCTCCTCTACTCCCACCTCCCCCCCTCCGTCTCGACACCTTCCTCATCGTTTGCAGTCTCCATGTCCATCATCTTTCCTCCGCCTCTCCGTATCTTGAGGCGCGTGGAAATGGACCATGCATGAGGAACAAGAAGACGACGGGCAGAACGTGTGAGTACCTGACCGTCCCACGTGACCGACACGTGGCAGACAAGTAAGGATCCAGGGTGATGGAATCATAATACTTACCCCCTCCTCCTCTACTCCCACCTTTCCACCTCCGTCTCTACACCTTCATCATCGTTTGCAGTCTCCATGTCCATCATCTTTTCTCCGCCTCTCCGTATCTTGAGGCGCGTGGAAATGGACCATGCGTGAGGAACAAGAAGACGACGGGCAGAACGTGTGAGTGCCTGACCGTCCCACGTGACCGACACGTGGCAGACAAGTCAGGATCCAGGGTGATGGAATCGTAATACTACTCATACTAATACTAATAATAATAATTGAAAGAAGAAGAAGAAGAAGAGTAGTATGAAGAGAAGAGGAATAAGAAGAAGGACGAGAGGAAGGATGGAACGGCGGGTTTGTGTCACGTGGAAGGCATGTGAGGATCCTAGCAGAGGGGGCAAGAAGTAAGAAGCGGGAGAAGGGTTCGCTGTGTGACGTAGGAGGGAGGCACATCGGGTCTGTAGTGGGACGCGGCGGCGAGAGCAGGGCATATGGTAGAGGAAAGATTTGGCGGTGCCACGTGGCAGTTTCGTCTGATTGGGATGGGAAGGCGGCAGAGGAAGAGTAACAAGAAGAGAGGGGGACGAGGGTAGGAGGAGAAGGGAGGATAGGAGGCGGGTTAGCAGGGGAGAAGAATGTAAGAAGAGTCATAGGTAGGAATGATCTCGTAACGACGTGTGGCAAGCATGTCTGGATCGGGATAGGACTAAGAGGTGGTCATGGCAGAGAGGAGGGTAAGAGTGATGCCAGAGAGGAGGTAAGTACATCGTTTATCGGACGGCGATGGTTTGCACAGAGCATCTGCTAGACAGGAGGACAAGAAAACCCGGGCACTGCTGAAGTAACCACATAACACACTCACGGAACCCGTCAACTCACCCTTCCATGACCCCCCCCCMCCGGTCCTCCACCCCCGCCCCCCCCCCCCCCCCYCCCCCCCSSSCCCCCYTTCAAAAAAAAAAGGAAAGAAAAGGATAAAAAATTGGGAGTGGGTTGCTGGCACATCACACTACCTAACGTCCCTTCTCTAGCAAACGAACGTGCAGACTCCGTCAGTCTGCACAGCTGCGACGACGACCACCGATCTGACGCAAGGCACCCTATAAAAAAAACAAAAACAAAAACAAGGAAAAAAAAAAAGAAAGGGAAGGGACACAATGCACCCTGCCCATGAATGTGTACAAATGCTCGCCCGTTTTGTGAAACGCAAGGAAGCTTCTCCCTCTGGTTGGATTCTGGTTCGATAGGATCGCTTCCCTCTCCCCCCCCCCCCCCCCGGTTAAATATATCGTCACAGAGTTATCAATGCGCAAAAGCGAAAAAAAACAGAAAAGATATCAATTCAGTTTTTATCTTCTTACTTTTTTTTCTTTTTTTTGTTTTTTGTGTTTGGGATCTTCTTACTTCTTACAACTCCCCTTGTTTAGCCTTTAAAAAAAAAAAAAAAAAAGCAAAGCTCTTGCGTACAAGGCCGCCCACGTGGATGTGGTTGAGCGGCGGCTGCCCCCACCCCCGTGTGTCGTATCGACCCACTTGCACACAGCCAAAAGGCAAAGAGGCAAAGAAAAGAGGAAGGGAACAGCCAAATATAACAAAACAGGGGTCATCAAGATCCTGGATGACAAGGCCCACATATAAGCACCGCCCCGAACTTCACAGGCCAAATGACGGGACAAGACCAACCAGGATATCAAAACACTCTTGCCTGCAAAAAACGAAATCCCAAATACATATCCATATATACAGCAAATGGCCTTGGAAAAAAAAGGAAAAAAAAAGAAAAAGGCCTTGTTCGTCATCAAGAAGTTGGCATTCCTATTCGTAAACCATTCATTCATGCTCTCATAGGCCGAACAACGAACCCCCCCCCGGTGATTGGTCCCACATGAAAGCACCGCTACGCGTTCCAAAAATAGACCGAACAACGGGTATCTGTTCTGATCAGTTTAATATCTGATCCGTGGTCTATCGGACCACATTTACAAAAAAAAAAAAAAAAAAAAAAGAGAAGGGGATGCAGACAAGGTTGTCGAAAAACAAACAGAACGGACCCTAGATGACAAATCCCACATGCAAGCACCCCCCCCCCCCGGTCCTCCTACATCACAGGCCAAACGACGGGACAAAGACCAACCAGGATATCAATCAACACCCTTGCCTGCAAAAAAAAACCCATAAAAAGACAATCCCAGATGACGATTCCCTACCTAAAAGCACCGCCTCCCATCAATAGGCCAAACAATGGGAACCAGCCAACTAGGATGCCAAAAGAAAAAAAAAAAAACAAACGGATGACAAGTCCCACATGAAACCACCGCCACGTGGACCGAACAACCCACGTGAAAACACCGCCACGTGGACCGAACAACGAGACAAAGCCAACCGGGATGCAGACAAAGAGTACCAAAAATAGCAACAATTCGTTCCACGTGGCGGTGTTTTCATTTGGCACCCATAACCACACTTGAAAAAATGGAACCATACAGTAGGTCCGTAAAACGAAATACCCCCCCAACAGTGGGGGGAAAAGCAAAGCAAAGAAAGCAGAAAAAAGAGAGAAAGGAGAATTACAGAAAGGGAGTATATTGTCCTTCGGGACATCCGTTAAAATTGGAACGATACAGAGAAGATTAGCATGACCCCTGCGCAAGGATGACACGCATAAATCGAGAAATGGTC